ACAGAGAATCGCTTCTAACTTCGGGATCATGAGGGATGAAGAAAGAAGGGAAAAGGAGATTTCCCCGTGGTCGCTGCAGAGGAAACTTCTGCCCCGCACTGGCGAGGAAAAACCCCTATTAGCACAGGATGAGAGAGTAAATGTTGATTCTTAAATTGCAGCTCGGATCCTTTGGTCTCCTAATAATGTCTTTGGTAATATCCTTAAACACCTGTTTCGAATCTGAAAGGGAAGCTAAGTGGACCGGTGAAGCGGGGCGATAATTGCACGCAGAGATGTTTCGCGTTTAAAAGACAAATAAAAAACCGTCACGCGGCTTTTCCGAGAATTTATCAGTCAACGGAGGGTCAGCGGTTGTCGGAGGCTCAATGAGAGCTCACACCTTGAAGTGCTGATGGTTGGAGATCACTGAGCAGCTCCGGAGCTACATTATTTATGACGCTAATGGGACCTGAGACACATCAGTCGGCCGTCACGGGCTGGAAGTGGCACGTTTTAAGTGCATCTCGCCCCCATTCGTGTCTCCTTTTACCAACAAACACGAAAACTCTAAACGCCGGCCATCACTCCACGGGGGGACGACTAGAATCGAGGGCATGTTTTATTAAAGAAAACACTTCCCGCCTAATTCTTGATGGCCTTTAACTTTCCGCCTCTGGCCGGCAGATGAAAGCGATGACACATAAATTCGACACACACCTCCTCTGCGCCTGTTCTGCTGCATATGGTGGCGTTTAGGTGTGTTTACAAGGGCCGCGAAAGGGGGCTCATGCATGCGAGTTAAAATTAGCGAGGAAGCCTGTGGGATAATTGAAATGAATGAGGAGGTTGAGCCTGACTGCAAAGAAAACAAAAGGCTCCAAGCTTCAAGTAATCGTTTACCTCGGAGGTCTGCTGTTTGTCTGGATCGCGCTCCTCTATCACTTCTGCCTCCGGACGGCAATAAGAGCAAAGGGCGATGACGGACGCGCCGAGAAAACGCCGGATTTCTTGCTTTACGTGTCTATCTGAGGAGGGAACCTACATCCCCTGTTGCCCCGTTTCCCCTGACCCTTCCCCTTCCAGCCGTACATCAGCACTTTGATCACCAAATCATGTTTTCCAGCCTGAACTCGGAGCACCAGACCACCCTCAAAGGCTGTTTCCGATTATGCTGCAGCCTCGAGATCCATTCGAGCGGATCGAGCGGCAGAGTTTGCTGATCTGTCTCCCTACCTGCCTCTATATCATTACCTCCATCTGCTCGGCTCAGCCTGCCCGTGCAGTAATGTGACAGGCCTCATCGTCGGCCCTCTTAGCTGCGCCGCTGTTTACAAGGTGTTTAGAGCTTCGGTTGGTGCCAGTGTTTACTTGCCAGAGCCGCTTACGACACAAAAAAAGCAAAGCGCTGGGACATTGCTGCAGGCTTTTTCACACTGACAATATGCTGTTGCTCAACACGACACCCGCCAAGCAGCTCTCGTGAAAAACACACACTCTGAAACATATGGATATGCAGATAAGAGTTGCGCAAAAAAAAAAAAAAAAAGTCCCACACAGTCACAAGGCTTTACGATGATTTATTTCATTCTAAGACAAAAGCATTTAACCGCAGCGGAGGTTTTAAACCAGTGTAAACTTGCTACATGCCTCATTTTGTGGACTCAATAGCAAAGCAGGCGGCCTCTGGTGTCAATTAAACAGTTTACAAAGCTGCTTTGACATGCATTTTTGTCCCATAATCTCATGTTATGAAACTTTCAAACTAAACTTCCAGCTACACTTTGACGCCCCTCTAATGTTTTGTGTATGCAGCAGGGATTAACCATCTAAACCCCAAAAACCCTGGATTGAAAAGGCGTTTTAAAAAATCACCAAAATGACACCATTTACCTGAGCCAGAAACTGTAAAAACAGAAAAAAAGGTCAGATTTTCCCCATTCTGACTGTCCTGGAGTCAGTCATCGGTGATGTGCCATTCCATCAGGAAAATTAACTGAGTCTAAGCTTAAAATAGGGAATTTTTGACAAAATCACTTCACCTTTGTGTCCCATTCAAGAATTTACCAAAAATAATTAAGTTGAACTCATTAGATTTAAATCAATCAATCAATCAATCAATCAATCAATCAATCAATCAATCAATCAATCAATCAATCAATCAATCAATCTGCACTCATATTCTGGAACTTTTTGGCTGGATTGCAGGCTGAGTTTATACAGAGAAGAAAGCAGGCAACTTAAATTAATTGCTTCAACTGGTAGCATGCAGCTGTATTAAGTTTAGGTTAAGATTATTGCCACTGGTTTAAGAAAGATGTTCTGAATGTTGATGTTCCTCTCAACTGACCTGTTTGCACTGTTGCAAACTAAATATTTTTGTTAAAAAAGTGGACTAGAAATTTCAAATTTTTCCAACCTAAGTATTTGCTTTATCCAAATGTAAAATGTAAAACATGATTTTGCCATTAGATTTGGAAGTGCTTTTCTCTTCTTTACTCTCTGAAACCATAACAAAGGAAGTTGAGTCCCAATCAAAACTGTGCAGAAACAAGGCCGTGATGTTGGAATTAGACTGCCAGTTTAAAAAGTATAATTCCAATTTCATAGAATCCACAGATGTAAACTGGCCTCACTACAGCTGAAGATAAACAAGATTTATTCACAACAGTTCTTTACTTTAAATACAGCTCAAACGCACTTTTCATAGTGTATTCATATAAATATATACTCACATATTCTACATGTCTCATATAAACAGTTGCAAAATAAACCACTGGCTCTAACTAGATTCAGTAATAAACTATAAACTTTGTGCTTCTACGTACAACCAGGAAGCCATGTTGTACATGTTGTTTCAAGAGACTTTTTCAGTTTTTAGAAAGTAAAAAAAGATCTGAGAAATTCAACTTTAATCGTTTCTTTTCATAATATAAGACGTTATAACTGTGTTTTACTGCTCAGAAGACATTTTTGAGTTCTCTCTACTTCTGGTCATGGTTGTCCTGTTTCCATAGAGGTGCAGGACTTTATACTGCAGTGAAAAATGAGCCCACAGTGACTAAAAATGTGACAGGAGCAAAAGAAAACACCCAGAAAGTGTTCAGAGTTCAGAGGGTGAAGAAGCCATGCTTTGTACTGTTCCTCTCTGAACTGCAGCTCTTGCAAGGTGACCGATCTCATGTTAAGCGTGCCACAGAAAAAGTAAAAAGGGATTCAGAGAACAGCGGAGCTGCTTCTGTAATGAATCTGAGCTGTAGTTTTTTTTCCTCCTGTCAGCCGCTCTACTCTACTCGCATCTCGTTCAACCACTAAAACACACTCACAGGGCACGCAGGCGCTCTGCCTCCATCTGTATGCATAATTCAGCAGGCATCCAATTATATCTGAAAATAGTTCTATATGAACATGCAATATTAATAGATTACTTTGTGCCCCTAGGAACTCTCAGTGTAAGAATAAGCTAATTTGAGGTCATCACTTCCTCTGTGATGAACTCCCAAATCCTCCCGACACCGAATGTTCCTGGAGAGCAAATCTGAAGTGTTTGAAGTAATTGAAAAGCAGCAGGCAATTAGTCACCACAGCTTTTACCTCATTCTGTTCTCCACAACTCAGCTGTGCTATCTCTTCTGCTCACAACCCTTTTAAAAAAAAGAAAATCTATATAATGCGATGAAGTTGCGCCTTAAAATAAATGTCTTTCGGACACGCGCATTGATTTTTAAGGCGCTAATTTCATCCTACCAGAGAGAGAACACAGTCAGTTTATGGAACTACATTCATTTATCTCAGCAAGTCCAAACCTTGTGAAGGTTTAGCAAAGACTTGAAACAAACCAGAACTAACACATTCTTCATAGCCATGATGTGATGCTCTCAGTCCACCACTTAGGCTGTCTCAGTATGATTATTGCAATGAAATATTGTGCAGATATTTACGGTGTCCAGAGGATGACTCCATTCACCAATATGATAATGATTCATTTGTCTCAAAATGACGCTTTTATTTGAGTTTATTTTAATTGGACAAACTGTCATTGTAAAAAGTGAAAATCTGGCAGTGAGTGTGCCAAAAAAAATAAATAAATAAAAAGTTTAAAAAATGGCGGAATAAAAAACAAAAAAACCCAACTGTGCTCCTTTTAAAAAAATACTTTTTTTACAGTCAACTTATTTTTTTTTGTAATTTTATGAGATATCTGTATCAAAAAAGGGAAATCTGTAAATCTGTATTATTTTTCTAAAAATATACAGAGTTTTGATGTGGATGTAATTTACAGTTGTGGCCTGTTTCCTTTACAAAACAATACTTTTCCTCTGTACTCTTATTAGATATTACCATTAAAAAAATCTGTAAAATAACAGTACATTGTAAAAAACAAAAAAACAATTTTAAACTTCCATTTGTTTACAGTGTTACAAGCAAACCCAACTTGTTCTACAACTTACTTGTTCAGAGGCAGGAACTGTTTAATGCTGTCACTGCTCCAAAACAAATATTTAACCTAATCCAGTCAGTTTTTATTGGCATTGACATTTTTACACAAATTCAGTTAAGGGATGTCAGAAATGTTGGCAGGATGATTACAGAGAGCCCTGCAAAGCATCTGAATTTAACTAAGTCATCACTTGATAACTATTTGAAGACGGGCCTTCAGCGTGAGCGTGTGGATGCACCTGCAGCTCAGTCCGGCCCGCGTATGACTGAGATTAAAGCAGTTTACTGAGCGCAGCACAAACACGTCGGGATCAATATCGTAATAAGCACAGCAGGCTTTTGACTCGCTACCCAACAAGAGCACCTTTCTTGTCCCGGAGCACAAATCACTAAGAGCCCAGTGGATCAATGTGTCCTTCCTTCTAATGAATGTGCAGTAAACATGATTAATGTCATTAGACCCACTGTTTATCTCCCTGTTTATCTCCTCATATTTCCTGCTCCCTCCGTCTTCCTCTTTGCCCCCTTTCTCCCGTTTCCTCCTTCTCACTTTTCCGTCTCCTTCGCCCTCTGATCTGCAGGTGAGACCTTCTCGGAGAACTACAGCCACACAGAGCAGTGCAGGCCGTGCACTCAGTGCACCGGCCTGATGCGCATGGAGACGCCCTGCACCGACTCCAACGATGCCAGATGCGTCTGTAACTACAACTACTTCTACAGCACGGTGTCGGGCCGCTGCGAGCCATGCACCGTGTGCCCGGTGGGGCAGGGCGTGTTCTCCCACTGCGACCATGACCACGACACGGTGTGTGAGGAGTGTGTGGACGAGACCTTCTCTGACCGGGAGAGCTCCCTCGAACCCTGTCTGCCCTGCACACTCTGTGAAGAGGACACTGAGATTCAGATGGCTTTGTGCACACCGACCAGAGACTCTGTCTGCCACAGTAAGTCAAAGATTGGCCTGTCAGTTTACTTCATTTTATGTTGATTGTAAACCAACTAGGGCTGCAAGGTGACTCGGCGGTTAGCACCGTTGCTTTGCAGCTAGAAGATCCCCGGTTTGCGTCCTGGTTAGGACACCCAGGATCTTTCTGTGTGGAGTTTGCATGTTCTCCCTGTGCAGCGCGGGTTCTCTCCGGGTTCTCCGGCTTCCTCCCACAGTCCAAAAACATGTTGAGGTTAATTGGTGATTCTAAATTTTCCGTAGGTATGAATGTGAGTGTGCCTGTTTGTCTCAAAGTGTAGCCCTGTGATAGACTGGTGACCTGTCCAGGGTGTCCGCTGCCTTCATCCTAAATCAGCTGGAACAGACTCCAGCCCCCGCGACCCTAGTGAGGATTAAGTGGTGTATAGATAATGGATGGATGGATAAACAAACTAAGCCTGTGCCTTAAAACTAAATTCATATGCTTTAGAGAACTATTCACTGGATGGTTACGTGTGTTAACCCCTCTGAACTCAAAAGCCCACCGATGGGTTTTGGAGCTGGAGAGGTGTGTTATTTTTTAAATAAAAATGGCCACAATTCCACCATTTGTCAGAGCAAGAAACTGTAAATCTAGGAAACATTACTAGATTTCCAACTTTCTGCTGGACCTTGAACCACTTCTCTGTGATTTAGTCTTTCTTCAGAAAAATTATCCAAATCTAAGTGTAAAATTGTGGCATTTCGTCAAAATTACTTTTTTCTACAGGTGCCAAAAATGAACTCTTGGCAGGAAGGAGATTCTGTAAAAAACAAGTTGTGACCAACCGCTACATGACAAAAAATCTGGGACTTTTTGGCTTAACTGTAGGCTGCGTTTACACAGAGCAGATCGGTTTCAAGTATGGAAAGAAATGAGCCACCATTTTTTTTTTCAGTATTGGTATCACACGTGGAGAAAGAAGTTAAACTGTGTCATACTGCACAAAAGACAATTCTAAGTTCTCTGCACTTCTAGTCGTGGTTGTGCTGTTTCCATAGAGGAGCAGGATTTTGTAATGCAGGGAAAAATGAACCCGCAGTGAGCAAAATGCGACAGGAGCTCAACGACACCCTTCAGAGCATTCAGTGCTATTGTCTGCATCAAATGAACCCACCATAGAACTTTAAAGTAGACCTGAAATGGATGCTTTGGGGTTGATGTTTTTGAATGTCCAGAGGTAATAACAGTCAAGTGCGGTCTCGTAGGGCTTAAGTCTGTCAAACATTTGAAATTGATTCTTGACAGTTCCCACAAACGGCAGATGTTTAGCTTTTGAATTCATCCTTGTGCTTGGTTTCTTCTGCATTTGCACCTCAAACAAAACCAGTGTTTACTTCTGACTTTCAATCCACTCCAACTCTGGCTCATTTTCATCTTCAGCACAGTTGGTTTGGGCAGATGTGAACACAGAACTCGTTCTTGGGCGCAGACCAAAACAACTGCAGAGTCCCTTTAGAGGAAGTGGTCGATGCTGGGTCACAGATTATTTCTGGTTCTGCAGTTTGTTTATGGTGGAAATGTCATTTGACTCTGCAAGTTTGAGCAAAAATAACTGCTGTAGTCAGGCCCGCTTTGCATACCGTGATGCCGACAAGCAAAGTGGAGACTTCTCAAAAAACCAGATGAGGTCTGGTTTGGAAATAACAACAACAAAGTGTGTTGGCTTTTTGATATTTGGGCAGATAGGAGCTTATCCCTGTGTTTAGTCTGTCACTAGACAAATCTAACCAATTAGCAGAGTGAACATTCTCACATGTGTGTGTGAAAACAAACCCAACACAGATTGCGACAGGTTTACCGAGCTGCCTATTAATCTGGACCAGAGAAAGCAAACAAGACCATCATTATTTAAGCTGTTGGGTGCGGTTGTTTGGTCTGCCTCAGAGCCGAAACAAACAGGCAAACCCACCGGAGTCGGTTTGTGCCGCACCAAACACATCGGTGTGAAAGCAGATTTACTAGAAGACGAGAGCAGCTCCTGACCACAAAGTCGCTGCAAGTAATTTCAAAGCAGCGTTAGAGGCATCACGTATGTCTCAATCACAGCTGAACAGGCCACCGTAGGTTGACGTCTACATGTGTCTGGCGCGTTCAGAGGTCAGATTTTCAAACACTAGGAAGTTGAGAGTTTGAGCATTAAAAGGTCAAAGTCGACTGCAGTGTCAACACAGAGACAATGAATAATCTGATCTCCCAGCAAACAGAAGCTGAGCCTGGAGGAGCAGAGCCGACCTCCTTGTATCCGACCGTAAAAGCAGCTGAGACCCAAGGAAGCTGTAAATTCTTCTGGGTCAGACGAGGCATGAAATCGACCTTATCAAGGGGTCACAAGGCTCAAATTTGGGGGGTGAAATGACTTAGCGAGTACTGCTCTTAGTTTCTTGGGTAAAAATCTCCTCACTGGACCCTGATTTCAGACATTCGTAGTTCTAGTTTGTTCCTCCTTCTTCTACTTTGTGGGATTTTTGATGCAGACATTGACCAGTAAAGCACTAAACTGATGAAACACTTCTAAGAAAGCTCCAAATATATGGCTAATTTATCAATCTTTTGTGCACGCTGTAATTTATAAATCAACATTTTAATGATATAAATATTGGCATTTAGACTTGAGCTGTAATAATCCTGTTTGGATGACTGACGTGTTCATAAATGTCATGAATTTCATGGATTTCATGGTGTCAGACAGGCAGGTATCTGGATCTAGCTTGTTGTTGTACGGCGGATGTGCAAGTGCCACATGGATGGTTTAAATTCCTCTTTTAATAGACTGACAAGCAGCGGAGAAATGGACTGAGGGAAAGATAAGAGCAGGAAAGGTAGATGAGGTGGAAGAAGGGCTAATAACACCACCGATGACTGAACACCTCTCCTTCCATTTGCTAGCAAACACCATCAGAGGTGCTACTTTTAGCTTTCTATTATCAAGACATCATCACCTAAGTAATTTTTGAACACAAACAAGACCATTCAGAACGGAACCTCTACTTGGCTCTTTCACTGCATTTTAAATTGTGTGCCACCAGGTCAGATTAGAAAGAAACCTGTCAGATTGATTTACAACAGAGAGATGTTTTTCAGCAATTTCAGTCATACAAGCGGTTTGGCTCTTCCACCTTATTTAGTCCTACAAAATATCTCAAAACCTAACATTCACGGCTCTTCGATAATGAATCACTCTGACTTTTGATCTACTGCCGCCAACAGGTTTGTGATTCTGAGTGAAAATGTGTCAACAGTTATTGGATGGATTACAATGATGCACATTCATGGTTCACTCTGGATGAAAAGCAATAACTTGTGTGGTTTCTTGAGATCAAGCAAACACGTTAAAAGCAACGCCATTCTGAGGAAACTAATGGAAAGTGGACTGTCGTGAATAGTTTTAAAACATGCTGTTGTAGCAGCCAAGTCAATACTTGAAGCCGCTTCAATGCTCCACCTGCATGATCTTTATGATGTTCTGAATTCCTGTTTGCGTGAATCAAAGTCCAAAACAAAACTTGCTGTTGAACTCTTGTTCGATGGTACTCTACTATTGCAGCAACCCACTTTCTGATCCAGTTTATCTTTCATGTGCAACACCTGACTGGACAAAGATTGATCCCTATATTTTGAACTGATCGCTAATTGGCTCCTACACATGCATTGTTCACATTTACTGTAAGTGTACTAGCTTGAATTTTCTTCTGTTTTTTTATGACAAGTAACTTTCACTTGCTTCATTGCTTGCGTCCTCATGGACAAAAATATCAAAATTGTCCCCCACTTAGGAAGGACCTGCTCCAGAGCACAACTAAAGGTCAAAAACTCCACAGTGGACTTATAAAGATCCTCTATGGTCATTGATTAAACTCTAAAAACTCATGTCAGTGTATTAAAGTTACAAATTTAGAGGTTGTTTCTATCTATCTAAGTCCTCTCTGCCCTAAAATTGGCTTAATTGTAACTCTATATCGTTGCTTCTTCTCGCATGTGCAGATCGACTCACTTAGCTTCCTACTTCCTAGTGATTTTTTCCCCTTCACCGTCCATGTTTAGTTTGCATGCATTTCGTCAGAGGCAGAACAACCACGTTTATGCATCACCAGTTAAATAGCATTAAAAAAATCAGCATCAGCGGCCTCATGCACTTAATGACAATGTGCCTTGACATGCACGTTAGCATGCTGAGATTAGCGTTTGGCTCAGATCATGTCACAGGAGGAGAAAGAAGATGCAAAAACTCCTTGGAAATGAAACCATATAGACCTGAAGCAAGGGCACGAGAACCATTAATGGCTGCAGTTTTATTCAAATTTCCCGACTCATGCAGGAGGTCTGTTTGGTAAACGAGTTTACTCCTGGAAGCAAGTATGCAGACTAGATTGACTATGCAAGAACATAGAAATGTCTTATTCCTCATTTTTCATCAGGACAGAAGACTGACAATGTACAGTGGTGTGGAAAGTCATGTCCACAACCCTGAATGTAACCAGACTGACATCCATTTACAGTATTTAACCCCTTAAACACTCACAATATACCCTGGACATACGTGACGTACAGTCGGCCACAATGCAGCCTTTGCTGCCCGCTCAGTGCCCACCCAGGAAGCTCAACTTTGACCCGGCTTGTCCTTAGCGATAGCCGCAGCGACGGTGGGGACTGGAGATGGCACGATAAGTGACCTTATGGGACGTCCGTTTGAAAGGAGAGCCCTGTCAAATAGCACCAGCGGGCCTGCGGGTAATGGCTGCAGTCACATGTGGTCGTGATGATGTTTCCAGACCCTCCACGGTGGTCTTTGAGGGCCGCTTACAGATATGTTTTCTGCAGCAAACAGGAAGCCTCCTCGCTGGTATTCTCATCCTGTCTGCGTATTTATTTAAGTTTGGAAAATAGATTTTTTTATTCCCATATTTCTCAAGCTTATGCATGCAGTAAAAAAACAAAACCAAAAAAAGAATGATATGATTGGAGGTATTTTAAATTCC